TTTTCTGATATTAAACTTTCGGCAGTGCAGCTTTCTAAAATTTTCAAAATTAGTCCTATAAAATTTAAGATTACATTTTTGCTTAAAATTAATCATACATGTATAAATACGTTATGATCCTCATAATTAGTTCATCTATAATTCTAATTAGGAATTCATTTTAAGCGTGATATCTACAAATGAATAATTCAATCAAATAGTTTATTTTTATTTAACATTCAATTACTCTACATATCTTTGTTTAATCAACTATCTTTTATAGCTAACCGTAAAATAGCATTCATATATGTATCTTTTGAAGTTTTAGGATTTTATTATACATATTTATATTATGGATACATGCAACTAATTTAAAACAAATATATATATATATATATATATATATATATATATATATATATATATATATATATTAATGTTGTTTTATTTGAAATTAAATAAATCATAATATCATTTCATTTGTCCCCACTTTCAGTAGAATTTCATTTTACAAGAAGCATTTATAAAGCATATTTTCCAAGATTATCATCTATACATTGTATTGCATATTATCTATTTATTTATTTATTTGTCATGTGAAGTTCACATTCCTTTTTTATATATCATTCTGTAATGGTTATTGTTCAATTTAACTGATAGTTAAATTTTGAGCATTTGTTTTACTTGTTTCATCCAACATACGACGATACTTTAAATGATAGTTTTGATAAGTGTCATGGACATGTGACTCTAGGTAATAATCTTATTTATTCACGTGTCCGATGATGAAATAGATAAATGTAACTGTCACAGTCATGTTAGAAAAAATATGTATATATAAACACATAGAATTAACACATTGAAGAGTTTAAACAAAGACAGAATCCTTATTCATCAAATATGAATTATTTTCAAATTAACTGACAATCAGCTGATATTGTAGTGAACGTGAACGCAAGTGCGGGACAACCAAATTTGTTTGAATACAAAATTAAAGAATCTTTTAATAAAATCTGAGAACTATACAGCAAACATTTCATTTGTAAAATGTCAAGCAGTCATCTCAGACTTCATTGTCCCTTCATTTCCACACCGATCATTCTTTTTTCTTCGATCTTCTTAACCCTCTGCCGTCAAACATCTCACTTTTTATAGCTCATATCTATCAACCTCAGTAGCATACACCCCAATATCAGTTAATCTATAATAAAAATACATAACTATCTTAGTTTAGAAAATTGAATAAAATAGTGTTAATGATAAGATCTTACATTTAAATTTATTTGATTTCAGCAAGTTTTTTGAGTTTTAACATTTGATATTTTAATTATTGTAAATATATTTCGAATATTATTAGCAGATAATCGTTATGAATAAAATATGCTGGAGCGTAATAAATTGTTCACTGTTTTTTTTTAAGATGATCCTTCTTTTAGTTTAATTGAAATACTGTAAATGTACATTATTGAAGCCCAACATTTATTACTTATCATGAAAAATGTCCAAATCACTCAGTAATTGTTATTGTTTAGACAAATTTTAATTATTATTATTATTATTAAAACTTAGTAATTAGTGAGAATTTTTGAACATTTGTACACTTGATGCGATAATGTTTGTTATTCTTGCTTTACATAATCGATTATTTTCGACGGAAATGTTCAGTTATAAAAGAAAATTTGATTAACATGATGAAAGGATTTTGCTTCTATTAAATCCTTAACTCCAGTAAGAAAATGCTTAGCCGAGAAGTACAAAATACTTACCTTTTGACATTTAGTATTGTTATTAATGACTGGATAAGACAGTGATAATTTAACTAATTCGAAGTATAAGACAGTAAGATGAGAAGGAGGTCAAATTTACAATGATTAATTATCTTCATATGAATACATCGTTTTACTCTTGTCATATAGTTTATATTTGTATGTACCGCTAAAAAGGATGGGAAGGTTTTAAAGATTGTTTTGTTTGGAGTCAACGAGGTGACCTAAAATATTCTTTATGTCTTAAATATTCGAGTCTAGTTGTGAAAATTACCACTAAAGTGCATATACAACCATTTGACGACTCCCAAAAAGAAGAAAATAAACATTTTCAATTTTTTTACTAGCCACTTACTGGATGTATATCTCAAAACATTTAAACGTCGAAAATTGTTTTGGCGTTTTAACGTAATAAGTAGACAACGAATGTTTTGCAGTTTTAAATAAACAACCTTTTTTCGCTTACTTTTAAGAAAGTTCTTTATAATAATTTTCATAGTTGTATTGCGTGAGTTCAGTAATATGCTATCTACCTATACTGATTGCTAAATTACAAGGAGGTGGGTTTATCAACTGTAGCTATTTACTCTTCTTCTGAATGGATATCTATCATTACACACTCATAATTCTCTATAAATTATAAGTATTATAAACTGAAAGGTATATTATTCTAACTGTTTTCAATCGAATTCCTCATATGTCACTGATATATACTTATTATAACTAGTTGAGTAGTGGCATAATGGGTAGTTTTTAAAGAGAAGACTGCAATTATGTAACATTGTTATCGCTTTATTTTCGTCTCATGAGCGGCGGCCGTGCGTGTTGACCTTTCAGGTACCAGGAAACGGTAGATTTCTTGTCGAGTAAAGTTTTACTTTAGTAAATGGCAGTACTATCCACTTGCACAACGTCAGAAGCCAAAACACGCAGTGGAATACCGAACCTACTTTTAATGAAATGAAAAATGGTTATTCTTTATTTTTCAATGAATAATTCATCATGATAAATAATGTAATAGATTGATGATAGATACTGTACAATATATTCTAAGTGCAATTTTTACTAATCATAAGATGTAAATATTTACATAGTAGTAGTAGTAGAAATTATTAAACTGTGTGGTCATTCGTCAGCAAACATCCTTTGTTTAATTTAATGTGTTTGCTTGAGTGTATATCAGTTTATGTGAGTCAGTCTTTATCATGCATATTTTGCTTACTGTTATACATATATAAATTTTGCTACTAACACCTTTCGTAACAGAGTATTTTGTCATTTAATAGGCTTATGTACAAATAATAATAGTGATAATAATACGAATACTAGTCTTAAAGACTATGCATCTGTCTTTTTCGGTATTCATTGCCTTTTCAAACGAATTTCTTTATGACCAAAGAAAAAAAACATACATTTTTTCAGATGCGAATTCCGATATAACCATGTGCTTGAATTTTTTTGTGTAATTCAATTAGTGATACTAAACTGTGAATAGATTACTCTATAGAATCCAAAAACGCTTTTATGTTATAATACACACAGACATACATTAAAACTATTTTGACTGAATAACAGAGTATGAAAAGAAAGTTCTCTTTTTCTAAAGAAAACACGCGCACACAAAGTATAGAATCACCAAAGCTTTTGCATTGCACACTAATAAAAAGTTTCAAAGTATATCTAAATACTTATACATGTATTATCAGGATTTTATTTAGCAATTATTTAAACAATGTTGCGGAAACTATAAATTACACATTCGCTTACATCAATTAAAACTATAACAATTAAAGTATTATTTTCAATCAGTTTTGAGTTATTGTTCTGATTTGTTTATAGTTAATTTGTAAAATATTAAACAACTTTAGACGACATTAAATTGACAATTAAATAAGAAAAAAAGTACTTTCAAAGATCATAGTTAAATATTAGTAATGACTTGGTTTTTTCCTGATGGTAAATTCAACTGTTGCTATTTTCAGCAAAGTTAATCCTCATCAGGTAATGAGTTTGTAGGTATCATTACCAAGGTTTGATTTGATAATTTTGAATAAGTTGAGCATTGGGTAGGTTGTTATAAATAAGTAACATATTTGATTGATCACATATTATTCTTATTGTTCCGTTGTACTATTTAAAATTAGATTAATTTTAATTTGGTTATTCATTCTCTAAAGAAGTGACTTACACTAAGTCACGAAACGTCAGAAAATCCAATTTTTCTATTCATTGGGATATTACAAAAATATTACTTATTTATTCATCAGGTAATGCAATAAAATGAACAACTGTCTCGTCACACAGTATAAATAATCAACACTAAGACTGATCTATCACTAACTGGTGACTAAAATCTTATTTCTCTAGTCGTTTAGTACCGATCGAATTTTATCGAATAGGTTTTGACGTAGTCTCCTATTTGAATGACTCAACATTTCGCCGTGTTGTGAATTTAAGTAGCATGAGGCAATTGGAAAAAAAATGGTTTGATGCTTCCAGTGATATTCGAACTCAAACCATCCAGCTTCACTGTTTGAGACGTTAAACAGAACTATTCGGATAGCGTTTGACAGATCTATAGGAGACCAGTCCTCAAGAATGTAATCATACCTAGTTAAAGCATACAAACTATCACGAAACTTGGATTTAGTGTTTCCTGCTGACTACCTCCAACCACCTTACACTAATTAGTTTTGTGCACATGAGATTAAATTAGGTATACCTAGGTTTACGTCAATTAACCATAAGAATGTGATTCTATCCCATGGTAGCATTTGTGACAATTTCACTATCGACATGGTTCCAGGTTAGAGTTTTAGAAAATTCATTTAGAAAGAAATCATCAGTCAGTAAGTGATTGTTATTTATTGTGTTCTTTTGAGAGATCTACGTGTTGTGAAGATAGTTATCATGAAGCAATATCGTTTCGTAAATTGCTGAATCCTTTCAAAGTGTTATTTAAGCTTTTGTACGTTCTAGCTGGAAATAAACTATTTGATAAATACGACTTAATTATCATATATCTGCTTTCTTTCTAATGCTTCGCAAAAAAAGTTGTCTTAAACTGCACACTGTTAAATTTAGAAGCCTATATTTATCATTTTCAAATCACCATTTTTGTTGATTTATATGCGAGCTAAAATTATAACTGAAATAAAACTGTATTCCTTATGTTTAACCACTGACTCCATGACCTCATTTATTTTGAATATACACATGTTTTCTTTTTTTTGTATAAAATTTCATTTAAATAAGGCAAACAGTGTTCGTTCTGGACGAAGCTCTGGATTTGATGAACGCTGCTCACCACAATCATATGGACGTAGTGGTATGTTGTTTTTATTTACATACATTTACACTTTTATAAATAAATAATGATTTAAATCACCGGCACAAATGACTGTTAATAAATGATTACTTTAATTATAGGAAATAGTACAACACACGAAACTTAGAAGTACTCTAGTTACTACGACATTCACTGTAATCATTGTGTTATTTAGAAGGAGGTTAACTTATAGTTGTAAGTCACTTAGTGAACTATGAAGTCCAGTGGTGATAATAAATATCATGCTAACTAGTCTTAAGACATGACTGAATTTTTCATTTAACCATGTAGGTTTAGCTAATAATTACATGCTTCAACAAAATATGCATCAGTTTGATCTACATTTTTTTAAAATCAATAGAAAGTCTTTATTTTATTGCTGTGTTCAAGATATTCAAAATGATCTCGACTAAAGGTCTCTATTAGTATGAACGCCTTTGAGACCCATAAACAAAATTACAGCCGCACCCAAAAATTGAGATTATGAACGTCTTTAGTTCTCTATTTTTGTTTGGTCGTCCAATATCAGGTTCATTTCTTCAAATATTTACTCATGGATTGGTAAATTTGGAGAGTCTTGAAAAATTCTCACTGATTTAATGCATAAGCATGGTTACATGCTCACACATATATTCTTCTATCTCCCCAGCCACATAGAATATTTAAAAATCTTAATGCCTACATGGACACATCTTAGATTCCAAGCAAAGCCCATAGTGCTGTGTTCTATTAAATCTAATTATCAATGTAAGTATCGTAAATTTTAGGAACAATAGATTCTCAAATATCAACTACATATCATCTTCCTAATCGGACTCCATTTTGATAAGAATTCATCAGAGTCGTCCAAATGATATTTTGATCTCACACTTTAGTCAGATGAATTCAATTTAGTAACATTCATGATACTATAATCAACGTTAATTTATACACGAAAGCTAATAATAAGAATTTGCATGACTGTTTCAAGGCTAAAATGCTAGTCGAAGTACCAGATTGATGAAACTTACAAACTGTATGTTTATCATATTTCGACTAATTCACCATAAATAATATCTGCTTTCACATTTATGTTTTCCCGACAAGTAAATGTATTCCCTCTCAATCTCAACATGTAATTTCATTTTTACTTCAATCTCATCGTACGTAGTCTTTCTAGGAGTACTTAAAGCTTGAACGGATGTTTTATTTTGGATTGAGATCATGAACCGATTGATGTTAGATCACCGTTGGAAACCCGGAAGCACTGGACGGCCGTTCCGTTCTATTGTGAGACTCCTCAGCAGTGCGCATCAACGATCCCGCTCGCAGGATTCGAACCCATTTTAGCGGAGGCCCGTAGTTTGTTTTTGTCCTTATTCAGGTGGACGATATTCGTTGAAGGGCTCACCACTTTAGTGGCCCGTGGTTCTGACTCCTGTTTAGAGCATATGGAAGATGGCTGGGAAGCCAACTCCAATTCAAGCCGAACATTACTCAATATTTATAGGCAGACAAAATGAACTACAGACATGTGATGAGTCATGGGACATCAAGTGTACACACATGTACGCTCATGTGAAAACAGTCAAGGCTAACAAGCGAATAATTGACAAGGTCAAAACATGACTCAAGTAGAATGAGTAGAATGGAATGTCCGAAAACTAGAATAAGATATACTATGGGCTAAAACGAATGACTAACACTACATAGCCCCCTCGTAGAAAATAGCACATTTAAAAAATGTCTGTTTTCGAAAATAACACTGAAGTGATATGAAGCTAACGTTAACAATAAGTAGCCAAAAAAAATTGTACACCACTCGATAAAATAGTGTCACATGAGGGGTGAGTGTATTATATGAAAATGTCATGCTTATGCAAAAGAATACATGAATATCGCAAAGGCTCGGACAAAAATGGAAATGTTAGCATGTGAATATGAGCAAATTAATGAGCGTACAAAAAATTAACATCTAATAATTCTAAGACTGTTTGAACGATAAAATAACACGTTTGTATGAGCGATTCAAAATATCGTGAAAATAATAATAAATTGTTTGTGAGTATGATAGCGAAATAAATCGTGAAAATAAGTAAAGTAGAATATGACAGAAATTGGTCTGTGATGCCGACAGAATAGTGAAATATGCGAAATATATGTTCTGTTGAGCCGCAGTAGAATAAATAGCATCGACTAGTGATGAGTGAATTCGAATTCAAATGCGTAGTTCCCGTTCGTAGGATGATAATAGGCAAGTCGTGAAATGATAACTGCATCGACGGGTGATATTCGTTGCTGTACTGCAATTGATAATAATCATAAAATCTGAAGTCAATGAACGTTGTCGTCTGCGTTATGACAGATGCATTGAGTTATCGTTAAATATGTATTAGTAGAATGACCAGAGGAACAGAATAGTGACTGAGTAGACGAGGTACATAGAGTCGTATTCCTTTTTGGTCATGAAGCCTTTGAGTGGTTTGTGTGGTTTGAGGGAGATGCGCTCGATCTCGTTTGTTACAAAACCGTACCAAGGCATGACAAAAGTACCAATACATATGATTAGCGATTGCGACGTATGAGACTGACTTGGATGTAACGAACAAGAGTGTATCTTTGAGAGGCTAGCTCTAAACTCTATGTTCTGATATACCGAGCGATGGGTATAGAATAGTAGTTGCAGTACTCGAATAACATTTTTGGGTAATTAATGATGCTACATGTGATTACACATGTGGACGAGGAGATAAGATGAACGTAATGGTTTCTAATCAGTTAGTTAGAGGCATCCACAGACATAATAAGAGGCGATTTCGAAATGAAAAATGTATGTTGTGATAACATAAATTGCTGACCTCGACTAAGTGAATGAATGCAATATTAGATCAAAATGACATGAAAAATTGGAACGAACTCACTTAAAGCAGGAAAATTTTACGTTTTCGAATAGTAAAAATATCCCAATGAGTTCTCACAAAGTTAAGTGGAATTTTCATAAAATGATAATTTGTTCGGTGAGTAATATGATTGCGAAAATGTCATGATTTAATGACAGCACGAACAAGATTCATAATTCCACATTCGATCATGATATTAGCAATAATGTAATAATAAGCATACAATGATAATTTGAATCGTAATGGAACAATCCGACAAGTGTATCAATGAAGATAATTGACATGAGGACAAAGTAACAATGAGATAATAAGGTTTGTGCATGTCCATGTCGTGTTGCACAGGCTTTGCTGAGTGCGTCGGATTAGAGATTGAGCTGGACCCGTTGAGTGCGTTCGTCGAATGTATCAAGTGCAGAAATCTCTTCATCGACGTAGTTTGCTGCGTTGCGTTCGTCGTCGGCGGGCTTACCACTTTTGGGGCTCACCAATTTTTAGTTGCCCGTTGTTTTCGAATCCATTTCAGATTGTATGGAAGATGGCTGGGAAGCCAACTCCAATTCAAGCCGAACATTACTCAATATTTATAGGCAGACAAAATGAACTACAGACATGTGATGAGTCATGGGACATCAAGTGTACACACATGTACGCTCATGTGAAAACAGTCAAGGCTAATAAGCGAATAATTGACAAGGTCAAAATATGACTCGAGTAGAATGAATAGAATGGAATGTCCGAAAACTAGAATAAGATATACTATGGGCTAAAACGAATGACTAACACTACACCATGACCATGAGTCCCGCGCGCGAACGCTTAACGTACTGAACCACTGAGCCAGCATCCAATGGTGTTAGTGTCTAACATCAACCAATCCACGAAATCGCGCGACCATCTTCCATCATACTTAGGTAGACACTTGTCTCTACCCGACACGGATTAGCCCCACTGTTCACGGCTTCTCATTAGAACTCCGAGAATTACCTCACGAAGCTAGTCATTAGTGAGCACATTATAATTTTCAGTATAGGAGTTGTGAAGATTATTATTATTAGTTATTCGTCAGATATTAAAACTTGTTATTTGTCAAAGTAAAATTTGAAGGAAAAGTTGATTACAGTTCATAAAATAATCAACATTTTTTCTATGATACAACTATCAAATTTGATGTCGACGGTTCTTAACAGTGCGACTTTTAGTTTTCTGAGGGTTACTTTAATACCGATAGTAACTGCTTCAGAATCAGTAATACATTAACTACATATACATAACTGTCGTAGGAACTACACTCACAAAAACCAGTCATTCATTATGAATTATCTTACTTCTTTAATTTTTTTTAATTGTAGCTTCATACTACAATAGTTATACACCACCACCTACTCGATTTGGATTAAGCAATCATTGCACTTCACCTCATACTTTTTCAAATTCGTCAGGTACAATTTGATGGATACAAGTTGACATTATTTTTTTTATGTGATCTTTATCATAACGATTATTTTCATTATTGTTTATTATAATTTGGATGTTTTTATAAATAATGACTGTTTATAGTAGCATGGACTTGTATTAAACAATAAATATCAAAAATATCATACATGTTCAAAAGAGAAGTTCAAGAATAGAAACTTTTTGATTGTACTAATCATCTCATACAATGCTTTTGAAGTTATTTCAGGTTATTACGATATACTAGTCACTGTTATAGTGACTATTACATGTGTAGACTGATCAAAGTATATTCTGTCCAACTTCTTTGCAGGTTTATTTACTCCGTCCTAAGAAAATGTAATCTAATAGAAAGCATCTTGTACAGATGATGAGGTAGATAAAAAAACATTTACTAATTCTTTGTGTGTGTCTAAATATCAAAACTGTAATCTGAAAAATTAAATGTTTACAACTGTGAACACCATTCTTACTGGACAGTCAGTAGGAATCGAAAAGGACAAGATTAGTTAGTGATTTAAAGAGTAATATCGTTTGTGTCAAGAAAACCTTACTGTAATAACTTTTAATAACCCAATACACATATTAAAATAATTTTGGTTTCCCTTATTTTTACACTTTATTATTGAAATATATCTATGCATGTATTTATAAAATGACATCTTTTCTAGGCATAAATTCTAGATCACTGTCAAATAGTGGTGGATGTCATCTTAAAATCGATCCAATCAATCATCATCATCATTATGATCAAGGGCATACACCACCGGCAAATCATAATGGACTAAGTCGTTCCGGTTCTTGTCATTCAGTTATTATTACTCCTACAGGTAAGGCATAAAAAAAATTTTGATATATCACTCAAATGGCATGTTTGACTTGTAAAACCACTAATTTATCGACGAATATCTACTAAAGTTGTGTTAAAGCAGTGTATAATTCCAGATCATTCAGCTGATTAACTTAGAATAACTATAGGTTCTCTAGAAATTGGCTTTCAGAGATCCTGTAGGTACTTTATTTGAAATGGACTGTTTGAGAAAAATGCATGCTTCAAGTGACATGTTTTCTAAGCTGAGAGCTCCGTTGGGATCCGTTACGTTGTTTAATCATGACTACTAAAATTTAAAATGTTAAGATCGAAAAAACCTTTGGCAATGTTATTGTTTACTCTATCAAATAAATGTTTTGTTAAAAGCCAACAAGAACCACGAATCGCAGAAAAGTTGTTTTGTTCGAGTCAGCTACTTAATAGGAGTATGCACACACAACTTTAAATAGAAAAGAACCTAAAACCTTCAAGTCTCTCATGAAGAGTATGATATTTTCAGACTGTCGATCAACACCTTTGAAGTCATTCATTTCACAATATAGGGTTGGTCGTCATCTAATCTTAATAGCAATAGTTTCTCTTTCTAAACTCTTTGTTGTTAGTTGCATAATATCTTTCATTATATAACAATAACGAATTTATTTGAATAAAATAACAACCTCTAACCAATTAAATCAAATTACCTTTAATTTAACTAAATCGTCGTAATTTCTAGTTATTCCAAACCGTAATCAGAAAGATTTAATATTTACAACTGTGACTCTCATCACTTACTTCTAACATAACGGGGTCTTCTTCCTAATAGAACAGCGTTAGATCATTCAAAAACTGAAATTTATTACACTATTAGATTACATAGACAGTAATATCTATCAACAGAGTTAACCAGTAGTCAAGAGTAGACAAATACAATCATCTCTTCTTCTCAGTGATTAATTTCTGTGAATATCTCAGCACAACAAACGGTAAAATGTTATCCACATAAATGAGTGATGTCGTCCCTGAACATGTCACTAAGTGTCATGGATTTGAATTCGATTTTCAACGTTAGTTACGTGATTGTGGATACACATAACTACTGATGATGATCGTAACTATTTTATCAGGGTTTAATCTCGAACCGACCAATCATTATAACTTAGTGTTGTTGACCCCTTTATACATGAAACGATAAGCTAAAGTCATAGGAATAGTTAAATATGGATTATGATATCTAGCCTTATACATATATATATATATTCGTTTTAAAAAACTCGGTTGCAATATGGAATCGTTTTTATTATGGAATAAATGTTGTAGAATATTTTAGTTTTATATAATCGACTATTCTTCATTAAATAATCACTGAAAACCAGGAGGTGATTTATCTACATTAAATTTGTTCACATTAGCCAGAAGACATGATCGTGTTTTTTCATACTGTCTAATAATATAAGTGGCATATAAGCATCTTCAGTACTCTAAATATTTTTTTGAAAAATGTTTATTAACCCCCTAAGACTATTGATTATTTCTCTGTTAAATATTTTTTAAATGAAATCCAGCGTAATCAGTGTCACCATGGGGGGTAGTGCAAAAATAGTTTTTTTTAAAGAAACAAATTCGCAATTTTTCTCATATTACCTATTTCATGCACAGAAAATAACAATCCATTCACGTTATAAAAACCTCACATTTCCAAAATGCTTATGAGATGTATTTTGAGCCAACTATAAAGGTATTTACATATGTTATAAATATGACAGGAAAAACGTAATATATAGATTGACAAGTGTATTGTGTGATTGGAATCTGATTTTAATGTTATTAGTATCCTGAACGTTTATTAGTCTGATTTCAGAAGTGTCAATATTATACTAGACAAAGAAATAATGAAACTATTCTAAAGAATTCACTTGATATTGTTTTACTTGAATCTTCCCATTGATGTTTTAGGACTGAAATTGATCAGTCTCTTATTGGCATATGTGCATACTGTGCGTATGGGAAGATTCAAGTAAAACAATATCAAGTGAATTAAACTTCAACCCATTGCACAAGCAAGTGGCTATCAGGACTCAGTAGCTAAGTGGATAACGCGATGGCGTTTGAAGCGAACGGTACTGAGTTCGAGTCCCAGAGTGAACATCAACTCTGAGATGCAGGTACATCCAGCTGGCGAGTCCCAAACAGGACGAAACGCGCGTCCTGGATTCCACTGCTAGCCACTATCCATCTTTGCTTATTCTAAAGAATGTTGACTTTGAAAATTTTACACCACTATGTAATCATACTGATAAAGATGGTATGTTGATAGACTATGATTCGAGTCATGAAAAGTTTTCTTATGCTAATCGAACAAAGTTGTTTAGTTTTAGTCATAATTAAACATCCAAACAAGTGTTGGTCTCCAATAATCAACACTGACCACAAATCTCAATATTTATTGACAGATGTATGTAAAACAGTCAGTAGTTCTGTTCTCAAATATCTAATTAACCAGCAACCTACCATCATAAGTACTATTTTCAAGGTTAGTTCAATTTAACTCAAGAGCCTGTTCACAGCAGAAGCTTTAACAATACATCTTTCTATACTTGATCTGAACGTTCATAAATGACTCGTTTTTTCATTCATCTCACATTGGTCCTAAAAATCACCTTTCTACTTTTACAATCTATTACCTTGTATTCATTTTTACCTCAGTTTTTTAAAATGCGCATCAATTAAATGATTTTCTTTCATACTTCTTACATATAATCGATTTTCACCTTACCGTTACTCAATATCCCTTCTCATATTACGTGATTTTTGCTTAGCACCTGGTGAACATATTGACATCACTTTAATAATGATGCGATACCTAAAAATGTTAATTATATATTGAGGTATTTTGAATTGCAGTAAATATAGATGGACAGAGATACTAATTGACATTATTGAAATGAAAAGATTCGTCAGTAACTTATCGCAATCTGATCGTAATCTATCAGTGGTTTTTTAGCTTTTTAAATACTAATAAAGCATCATCATCAGGCTCTACAGCTATAGGTCCATAACTATAATATTTTACAAAGGTCAAAAAATAAGGCATGTATTAATGAATTTGACAATGTTATATAAAAATGCATAGTAGGAGAATGTCATCTTGTCAATTGAGATAATAATAATAAGATTGTTGTGTGAATATAATATGTAATAAGGAGGGTGTTATCAAGGTAATTACGATAAACGAATTGGTAATGATCGATGTGAAGATTAAGATAGAGATAATCAAAAACAATGATAATAAGGACAAATTAAATAAATAAAAATGAAGGAAGGGGGTAAGAGGTTTATAATATTCAGTCTAGGTATTTGGTGATCAAGTCGTAAGCCAACGTAAACAAAGAGGCTGGATATATTTTTTCTGGATACATAAATTTGGTCTTCTGGAGTTGATCCAGATGGCTTCGGCTATGTAAAGCAGTCGTACTCTAACTCCGTGAGGTAGATATTTTGGAACTTGATATAAAACAGAGAAAGCTTCCTCTATTTTGATATGATGTTCACTATCTACCAAGTGAGAAAGAATGGTGCTGTTAATTGATTCGGCAACTCCTTTCCCAACCAAGCTGGTACATGTTCACGAACACGCAAGTATAAAGCCCTCTGAGTACGGCCGATGTAACTAGCTCCACAGGAGCAGTTGAATTGGTATACACACATGGAAGAGCAAATAATACAATTTTGAAGTATATATATATATATATCGTAACAGATGCAAACGTTTACCATTTTTAACACATAACATTGTCAAATTCATTAATACATACCTTATTTTTGGCCTTTGTAAAAAATTATAATTATGCACTTATAACTGTAGAGCCTGATGATGAAGTTACTAAAAACAGTTGTTCGCTCAAATATTCTTCATTTTTGAATATTCTATGGGGATTTTTAAACTACTGATAAAACACTGTGTAATGATTTCCAAACGTGATGAACATTTTAACAGATTTCATTAAAACTGCTTTATTTCTTTTACAAGCTTCATTCCAATTCTTTTGTGTCATCTCACTTAGATTCATCAATATTCATGTTGAAACTATGCATATCATTCGTATTTTGTTTTTTCGGTAATTACAATTAACGTTAATAATAAGAAAATGAAGTTATATTTTTAATACCATAGATTATATTTCCCGGTGTAGCTCATCAAACACAACTTTTATTTACTTAATTTTACATTGTACGATTTGTGTGACGACGTAATATTGATTGTCTGTCGATATTGAAATAGATGGAGTAGGGTTTGTACCTGAGATTGAGCGCTGAGCGTTTTAATTATTAAATGATCCTCTTCATTAGCATTTATATAATAAATATACCCTGACAGAAGGTCATTTGTCGTTATTCCTCCCTTCAGGAGAACATGATTACAACCCAGTCTTCTTATAACAACAGTTATGCAGCTTCACTCTCTGATAGAACTATTCAGGCACCAAAAGCCATGTGTTACTACATTTTATTCACTTACTTATTAAGCTGATATATGCATGCGTAAGCGACTGGGAAAGGTTAACTGATAATAATAAACACAAAGTATCAGTAGGTTTTTCCTATAACTGTGAGAAGAACGATTGTGATGAAATAAAATGATGAAGAAATAGTTATGTCAGATATTATGACTCTTGATTTAATTGAATAATCTTCTTCAATTATTTAAAACCATTATGAAGTTGTTTAAAAACTTTTAGATTCATAGATTTTATTTAAACTGTATTAAAAATTCATTTTTTGAAACATTTTAATTAGTATTGAGGGATTTGTATAGATTACAGAATACTATAGTGTAAGTCATGAATCGATCGTAGCTAGACGGATGAGCACTGCTGAGCAATCCCGTACTACGACTAAATGACCGTTCAGTGCTTCCTGATTTTCTATGACGGTCTAACTCAGATCATTTTGTGATTTAACTTACAATGAACATCGTAAATAAGATAATATATTTTCAATATTCCAATGAGTAGGAAAATTAGATTTTCTGAAGTTTCGTGACTCAGTGCAAGCCACTTCAGGTTATTTATTTTCTGAAGAAGTGGATATTCTACCTAATGCTCAATTTATTCGAAATTATCGCGTCAAACCATGGTAATGATACTTATAGAAAACATTGTTAAACAAGCTTTTACCAATGATGTATCGAGTACCTTACAAATTAATTGCCTTTTTGGCCTAATATTTTAGCAAATGATTCTTAGTTTTTCGATAATTTCAACTAATAAATGGGCGATAACAAGGTAAATTTTCGATATACAGAGATTCAATGCTCCGTTAAAAGTATGAGTTCTTGTTAACTGATTTGTACAATCTCAAAAGTTACAACTAAATTAATAAGATATCATCATTAATATTACTTGACCGACTTTATGAACTGCTTAACTCCACCTCAGTTATTATTCAGCAAAAATATTTGTTTTCACAAGAGTGTATACCTTTTACAATACTTTAGGAATTCTGGATTCAATTTCCTTCATTATTCTCAATATTTAATGAATTGTGCATACCAATAATTAACTTGAAATGTACCTAGAGTGTCAACTATTCCAATAAAATAAATTATTACAGAAAATTTATTATATTTATCTGAAAATAAAATAAAACCAACAAATCTGGAATAGAACGGAATGCGAGTCCTATATTCCACTGCTAGCTAAATATTATCTATTCCATAGAAATAAGTAGATGCTTTTCTAAATAAACATAACTGAAACCGCGTTTAACTCATGTTAAATGCTAAATATTTACAAGCTCCAATTTTTATTATCTTGAACATTTTAAGTTTCATGGTCTCACTAGTTTAAATGCTCCCTAGTACCAATAGTTAGTATACTATGTATATAATTTGTTGCAACCATTAAATTAGCGTTCAATCTTAGTTTATTTCTGATATAATTTTATAAATTACAAATGAGAACAAGATTTCTTTTTTTTCTACACAACTAATTGTTTCTTCAGGTCTTCCTCCTGGAACTAACAATAACACTGCTGGTGGCAATGTAGGTTCTACAGAAACTATTAATATACCTAGAGGTTCGACGGTTAACCTAAAGTAAGTCAATTGTTTCTGTAATGACTCTTGCCCTGTTAACCGCCAATTAAAACACAGATTCTTATGACCTTGCCACTGTATCAAACTAATGATGTGTTGACCAGTTCGAGCAGCTTGGAGTCAACTCTGAGTCTTTATTGGCTTTTCCGGCCTATCCCAGCTCGTTCAGCCCAGAACATCAATATCAACCTCCACTGTATGGAAATTCGTAGTTTATATACAAGCAAATCACACCGCATCATACCACAAAATAGAAAATAAAAATTATACAATATAAAATCAAAAATGGATGTGTGTGTGAGAGACTATAACTATTAATTCATGAGTAAATTAGGAATAGTAAGTCGTATAATGGTAATGAGTGGCTCAAATGGAAGCTTTTATTCAAAGGAAAATGAATATACATATAAGTTAGTTAATTAATAGTCATGCAACAGAAGTATGTGTACTAATAGTCTATAAATAATTCCTAGCACTTACCACTTATTTATTCTTTGTCAGAATATAACAGTTTGTTTGTTTTTTACATATTTATTTGACTTATGTTTTATAAGCCGAATGGTTTGGTAATGAAGCTTTGGTTTTCTTTGTGGACGACATTATCAACACTCAGTTCATGTAGAAGTGAACTGTTTAGAAGTGTTTTGTGATGACATTATCAGTGGTCATATTGGGATTTTGTCAGCTTCACCTGTCTTTACATTCTTGTTGAGTGCTTTTTTAATCTCTGGACATATGACTGGTTAACCTTTGTTACATAGGTAGTTTTAGCCAACAGTTTTTTTAAACTTCAGTGATAATTAATAAAGTAGCACACCCTTGACTAATATACTTTGCATGATATATCAAGCTTGTTCTAAATATTTAACCTATTTCGATAACTCCTTATTATTCATCCTTAAGCAATTAAGAAAATTCCATTGTAAAAAGGTCAAACAATAAAGTCAGTTCATTCTACCAAAAGGTGTTATTGTGATGATTCGAACACATACGCGATGTTGGCTTTTACTTGACCATACAGGAGACCATTTTAAACTTGATTAGTTGAATCATCCCGTGTTTGAGTGTTACACTGGGTGACGTATTTGAATACCCTCATATGAATCAGTTATTTAGTGGTTACATCTACTCCTTACTAACCAGTGCCAATTATCAATTGCCTTTAACCATTAATGACGTCATAGCATTATCATAATTTACCCAGCAATTGTTACCTAGGCTGTTTTAGTTTATTTGTCTGTGTGAACAAATTTTATTTCATCATATTTTGTTTCACAATGATTAAGAATATTTAAGTATTATTAAAAATATAATCCTTTTTTATTTTTTCATGATAGCTTTCATGGTCATACACACCAAAATTCAGGATTTGGTGGGGTATGTTAGAATATTTTAGTTATTTATATAATAATTATGACTTTCATTGATATTTTGATTTTCACTAAATAATTCCATTATAAATGTAATGCTATCAGCCTACAACTGACATACATACTCATTAGAAAGCTAACAGTATCTTGCTGTTTTCAGAAATTCATTATTGACCGAAATAAACTGTCGATCATTCTTTCTAATAATCTGTACTTATGGTCAAAACACTATTGTATAAACTTCTAAATCACTTATCGAATAGCATATTTTTATAAGCAAGTGAGAACGTATATGTATACTAATTTACTACATATCTCATTTTACTAATATAATCAATAATATTAAATGACAATTTGTATCCTAACATTAGTTAACTGATAATAAAATTGAAATTCAGTTATACACATATTAATGTTTCCATAACCGAGCATGAAATTCATGATATTTGTGGTCTCAGAAAGTTTTCATTATCAATATCCTGGGACAAGACTGAATATTTTTACATGGCTGAGGATAACTATCCTGTTTATCGTTCAATAAAAGTGTAATACCTAGTATTTTCAAGTATATTACGTTCCTTTAGTACTGCAGATAAAAGTGTAATTTTCATTGAACACTTTATTTCAATGATTAAAAACTACCTACATATATCTTTTTTCGAACACGCTGCTGTAGCGCATTCCAACTTGCCGGATGAAAAAATAGTCAAAGTGAGAATTACAGCTTGAAATGAAATTCTCAGTGAATATTACTCTCCTTTAAACATTATTCAATAATTAAAAGAAAGGGAAAGTGCTACATAGTGAACTTATCTCGAACATTTTGAGGCTGATGAGCTACAAATTAACAGACATGCATCGTACTCTGCACTTTTTAAACTTACAAATTCATGTTCAGCTTTATATCTATTTATGATGCATATACTACAAAATTATTGATATGAATTTCATTATAGAATCGAACAATGAATGAATGAGCAGTATAATTAAAGCATATTATTGTTATTTTATAGACTTTTGTAGCACAGTATGGTTACGAAGCTAGAGAAGACGATGAAGTGACCTTCAAATCTGGTGATATTATAGTGAATGGTGCACCTATTACCGAAGGTTGGATGTATGGTACTGTTCAACGAACTGGGAAATTTGGAATGCTTCCATCGAATTATGTTAAACCATACCGTTAAACATTTCAATCACTATGTTTACTATTTATAACTATGAATAAGTTTTTTTCTCATTTTATTTGTATTATTAATCCAGGTAGCTTTCCTTTATTTTATTATAGTCCTATAAACGCATATCACTATCATCATAACATATCATGAGAATTCATTTAAACAAAAAGACCTCTGACAAAATTCATTAGGCAAATAACGTTCCTTTTTTTATCTTACTCAGAGATTTCTCAACATATTTCATAAAATCTTTTCAAATAAATCACATAAACTATAAACCTTATGGTTTTTATCGTATTGCTATGACAGCATTTTCGAAAGTTTAGAGTATAGGATATTATAGCTTATAAATTCCTATCAAATAATCTATATTCATCTTTTATTTACTTTACATATATATTTTAAAAATAAAAAAATATATTCAGTTTATATACGGAACAGAATTCCAAATATACAAACAATTCAATGACATTCATCAATCACACTAACTTACATATCCTTATTAAACAGTGAAATTATATTCGATTAACATTTCGTCTCTTTCATAATTATTTAGCTTTTTATTAGCTACTTATATTTTTTTTCAAAATATGCTCTCATGTCTGTATGTGTACCAGAGTAACTATAATAATAATAACAATAATTATTATTATTATCATTATTATTACTATAGTAACAATGTTCAACATAGTTTCAGTTCAGTTATTACCTGTTTACATTTTTATCACTCTTTTAGTGACACATTCCCAGATTGTTTCTAAACTTTCTTTTTGAGAAAAAAAAAGTTTGGTTATTGATTTTGTATTGTATATCATTTGTTTGTTTGTTTGTTATAATTTATAATGATAATATTGAATTTTTTTTAAAATAATTTTATTAAATTGACATATATATTCATTGATATGCATATGATTTGTCTTTATTGTTCATTAACTGTCATTTTAATAAAGCATCTATTCTTAAATTCCAAATCATCATTTAAATAATAAATCATTCAAGAGTCAATATGCATTATATGCGGTCATCTTATAACACAATAGAACGTATATATATATATATATATATATATATATATATATATATATATATATATATACAATGAATACCTTATGTTATAATGGTAAATGTCAAATTATTTCTGTAATGACATATACTACTATATATACAGAAATACCATACAATATACATTAGAAATGTGAATACATTTCAAAGAGATGCACTAATCAGATTTTAACAAAAATTTAGTTGTTTTTGTTTTGTTTCTTTTATTTGAATTGAATTTGTGTGTTTTTATGAGTCGACAGTAAAAGAGGAGGGTAAGAGAGAGAGAGAGAGAAAGAGAATAAATTGATTATTATCAATAAAAATTTGAAGTACAAATTTTCACAAAAAAGAAACATGAATTATTTATTTTTCATATTTACTCATAAAAAAAATCAATAATCAAGTTACCTATGTATCATTTTTAAACCATTACCAAATAGTTATGTTTGTTTGTTTGCTTGCTTGCTTTTTATATACATTCAGTTAATTGATCAATTCATTTTCTATGTTTGTCTACTGATTGTATGGACTCCTGAAGAGATTGGTTGTGTATACATAAGGTTCGATTGATAATAAATATTCAATAAAACTTTATATCATGCATCCAAATATCACATAGATAAGATAATAGAAATAAAGTGTATATTATGAGAGATGATTGTTGTTATGGTGTGAATTTCAATTCTATCCATGTTTAAATAATAATAGTGAGCAATGAGAATGTAGACTATTATTTGTTTTGTAAAATATTTCATGGAATTTAATCAATAATAAAGTTACAGTAATACTGAAATCAGTGAAGTGGATCTCTTTTTTTGTTTTGTTTTCTTTTTTTTCATAAGAAGAAACTAATAATCTGATAACAAATATTCTTCAATAAAACATAAGATTATGTTAGTTACACAATGATTAACAAGAGTGTAAACAATTATACCAACATATTGAACGGGTACGGATATACTTTGTAATGAAACTATCGAGCTTAGGAAGTATTATGCTTTAAAAGTGGTTACAATGTAAGCATCTTGACAGAAATAACATGTTAATTACATTTCTATAATAATAAAATATATGATAGCTAAAGTGAATTATAAATTCTTTGTAAACTGATACAAACATATAAAAACAAAATATCATTTTTCATTTTGTTCATTAGATTCTTCTACTAACCAGCTTTTTATATCATCAATATTTTCATGAATCTCAAATAAAACATCATTGATGATTCTATGTAATATCACATTTTTTTACTTCTTTTTGCCTACTACTCATACAAAGAAGATACCAAACTTTCGATTGAAAAACTATGAAAATATTAGGTTGAATGATATCAATTTACTAGTGGTCAGAGGATGAAATACTGACAAGCATGTAAGATGATGCATATAATACGATTAAGAGACATCTGTTGGAACAATAATAATCATTTATCAGTGATGTTTACTCTGATCATATAAACTTTATATCATTTATACTATACATATCATATACATAGTAAATACTAATAAATATGACTGAATACTTACAGGTTAACCTTTGACTTTACAATAGAGTTTCATAGGCACCAGCTAAGTGACTAAAATTATCTGTGCCATTATTTTGTAACAGTATGCTTGCTAATGAGCAAACAAGTTACTGTATATTCTAGTATTAGATAACAGTAACTCTTGAATACTTCACTGGCTATGCTGTAATACATTTTTAATATATGACTTAATAGAGAATACCTCGGTTGACCCGATTCCGACAACTGCATAATTAAAAAAGTCGAAGACGAAATTAGGTTGAAATAATATTTTTCAAGCAAATAATCATGGAACCGTTTGTCAAAAATTTCGTACATCTGTTTCTCATTATGAATTTGAAAAAAGTCAAAACATTTAAAGGGAAATAAAATGAATTTACTGTATTTTATGGTCTCGCTTCAGCTGCTTACAACTGTATACATATTAAAGTATAACATTCGAGCATAATATGAAGTAATTGACCTTGCTGGCGGAAAGAACAGAAATTAGAACAACTATCGGCAAAAATTATATGCATGTACGAATGAGTATATGCGAGGTTATTTGGAGATAAAACTCAAAAACATCGAGGTTGTGATGTAGTTATTCTATGGAGTCTGGGAACTAATGAGATGAGTTACTCAATGATTTAAGACGGTCTGAGGAATCTAAATAAGTTCTGAATATCGAGCTGGTGAAAACATAAATGAATGGAAACATAATTTGACGTAGATAAAATAACGATTAGTTTAGTGAAGATCGCGTAAAAAACGTTATAAAATAACAGGTAAGTTTAATCACTAACAATAAGTTTGTATGCGGCTGAAGCGAAACCATGAAATATAATGAATTCAGATTTCCCTGTCCCTATTTTGGCTATTTTCAAATAGAAAGAACCAAAAGGAAATGGCTTTAGCCGAATTGTTAACCTTAGCGAATAAATATAAAAAAACAGATGAATAAAATATACGGACGAGCACAGATAGACCAACACAGATAGAAGGAAAACATGTTTGAAAGAAAAATTGAGAAAATACTAAAATGAACATTATACAGTTTAGGAATTAATTCGGGTAAATCCAAATAGATTAGTGAAAAACCTGTGAAACCACATATACCGGACTTCCTTCGAATATGTCATCAGATGTCATGGAATTAAAATTTTTTGTAGGATTTAATTACCTATTTACTCACTTAGCTAATTACGTACTCCTGTTATCTCCCGTGAGAGAATAGACTGCTCAACAGGATTCTACAACCAACTCTGTCCTAGACTCTACGACCCAGCTTTTTTCCAATTCCTAATCATTATTCTGAAGTCCTTCTCCGATTTCAGACTCAATCTGTTCCTTGGTCTTCCCATCTCCTACTTTGTTTTCCAAGTAAGGGCTTGTTCCGTCATTATTCTTGACTGGTCGCTCTTGTTTGCTATGTTGTAGCGGTAAAAAAATGCATAAAATAAATAGCTCTGTAAGTTTTCGACATTGGATCTTCAATGATTTCCTGCCTGTTTTTTGTTGAATCATGTACTTGTCTCGTATCCTCTTCTCTTGCACCTATTTCTGCTGTAGTTGCTAGGCTTTTCACGCATTTTCTCATGTCGGTTCTAATGCCTATTTTCACTCTACTGATTGGCACTATGTATTTGATCATTGCCCTGGGTTTCTTTGCCCTTCTTTTACCATTGTTAATTGCTGTCCTCTTCTTCTTCCTTTCTGAAATCCCACTCACATTTTTGATACAGATTCATTACCCACGTCTTCAACTGACCTGAATTGTTTTGTGGTGCCTGTTCATGAAGAACTGGACATCCCATTTATACATCGATTCGTCTAAACTCCTGAAAACTGTTGCTTCTATAAAGTAGAACGAGATGATGACCAACCTTTTTCTAAAATATCTGGGTTGCAAACGTATTAGTTTGTGCTTCCAGGTGATCGTTCCAGATATATTCTGGGGGTATAAGCCATACGTTCTACAATGTTTTCGGTGGTACATCAAGAGAGTATTGAAAAAGAGAGAAGGAAATGGTGAGAAGCAAAACAGACAGTGTTTATGACTAGTTAATTCTTGTCATTTGCGGACGAACAATTAGGGTATGAATACTTAGAGCCATTTTCTTTTATAAGATCGATTTCTAAGCAAATATATCTCATCGGGTCAAAGAAAACAAGCCACACGATTGCGATGAATGGACAAATAACTATCTGAGTGAATATGATTAAAAAAGAAGCTGAAGGTTTAGGATTCTGTGTAGCTTCAAAATTTATTAAGGAAAACTCTGTGTTCGAAAACTAACTGGCTTTGTGCATCATTATTACTATAACTCGTTTTTATTGTTATAACATTCTTAAAGTCACAAGTGTACTAACATTTGACGTAATTATCAAGTCTTACTTGCAACAGGATTTCTCAGTAGGATATGAAACCAACTCAGGGTCACAGCCACGAGTTAAATCCACTGGGCTTTCTTGCTTTGAATACTTGACATTCCATGTGCTCAGCAAAGTACAAACTGTTGCTATTGTAGTGACTCACGTTTATCACGAGAACAAGACTGGTTTAATAAAATTATTATTATAACCAACTGTACCAGTGTTTGTTTTAATGTGCTTTTGTTTGACTGTGCTAATGACAGCTATTTTGTGCTTCCATTCTTATTCTAAGACTTTGATTGTAACTTCGCGCGAATTCGGTTACCTTCTGTAACCAAGATTGTATCCTGGCACGATCTCGGTATCCTTTCGATGCCACGAGATCGCCAGCTAATAAACCTCGACTTGGTCCATTAACTGTCTTCTGATATTTGGCTTCTCGGGGATTTTATGGATCTATTTGGTTACGTCCAACCCTCGCCTTCTGATTTATCTGGCACGTGTTTCTTGGTAGCGGTGTTCATAGTTAACCTCGACTCGACGCCACGCTACACTATACCTCAAACCTGTGTAATCGACAGTGCTATGATGTTTCAGTGTATATTTGTTTACAGCCAGAATTAGGTTAGATCTACTACCATTGTAAGTAAATCTACTTTTGTAAAAATTCAGACACATTCCGCGACACAGTCCATTCGTAAAACTGATTTATGACCTCTAGTGTTACCGCTGAAATATAGCTTTCATTGGTAAGAGGCGAGAATTAATAGACAAATTTTAGGTTGTAGTGACTCACAGTTATCACGAGAACAAGACTGGTTTAATAAAATTATTATTATAACCAACTGTACCAGTGTTTGTTTTAATGTGCTTTTGTTTGACTGTGCTAATGACAGCTATTTTGTGCTTCCATTCTTATTCTAAGACTTTGATTGTAACTTCGCGCGAATTCGGTTACCTTCTGTAACCAAGATTGTATCCTGGCACGATCTCGGTATCCTTTCGATGCCACGAGATCGCCAGCTAATAAACCTCGACTTGGTCCATTAACTGTCTTCTGATATTTGGCTTCTCGGGGATTTTATGGATCTATTTGGTTACGTCCAAC